GCGGCGCGCCTGATTCTGGCTGAAGGGGTCGCAGCCGAGGCACGCCACGCCAGTGCGACCAAAGCCCCCGGAGCCGCGGAAGGGCGGAAGCAGGTCGGTGACGACCGCGATCTCGGAGTCCGCGATGATGCGCTCCAAGACAAATTGGGCGATCCTCTGGCCCTGCACGACCGCGAACGACCGCGGGCCAACGTCGCGCGCGATCACGCTGATCTCGCCGCTACAGTAGGGGCCCACCACTCCGCCCACGACGCGGGCGCCCCAGCTCTGAGCGCGGGGCGACCCGTTGGAAAGCACCTGGCGGCGCCAGAGCGGCCACGCCCGTAGACGCCAAGTCGCGACCACAGGCCCAGGAAATGCGAGGCGCTGGCGCGCTTCGCCAGTCTTGACGGCACCGCTGTCGCAGCGCGTGCATTGAAAGGAGATCGAAGCCATCGCCTTCCACTGCAGGAGCACGCACGCATCGCAGGGTGGCCGCGCCATCGCGGGCAGCAACCGCATTTGGGCAAAGCACATCCCAATGGGCAACCTGCGAGCCGCCGCCCACTCCTGCGTCGCAGAGTGGAGACGCCCGCCCGTCCAAGCATACCTTCACGCCTGTGTCTTTCAGGTTCACTGCGAAGCGCTGCCCCCAGAGCTTGGCCCAGGCGTCAGCATCCACGACGTCGCAATGCCAGCCGTCTGCGAGGTCGGTGCTCGCCAAGTACAACAATGAATCCGTCTGTGGACTCGGGCCAGTACCTGACGAACGCAGACGCCATGGGAACGTCGGTCGGCACGGCGGAGCATGCAAGTCCAAGTGGGCGCCGCACGACACCGCCACGTCGGCAGCGGTCAAAACTGGCAGAACTGCCAAGGGACCTCATAAGATCCCGCCGCGGTGCCACAGGCGTCGGCGGGGGCCAAATAGATTGGATGGCGCCCTGCCGCGGCGGTGTCTCCACTGGCACGCCGTCGTCAGGCGCCAACCAAGCCGGCACCTCAGGCGTCGGGCGCGGGGTGCCAGAGTCTGCCGCGCGCGCCAGCAACACAATTGCTGGACCCGCCGTTGCACGACCTGCACCAATACCGCGGAATTCGGCGACGACGTCAGTCCCGCCTCGGCGCGCAGGGCAAACACTGGGTGGGCGCGGGCGTTCTGAGGGAGCTGCAGGCGGCATGCCCGGCGCAAGGTGCGGCGGTACTGTAGGCGCACAAAGCGGCAATCATGTGCGATGGCCTCGACACGGATCGGACATTCCAAGCCGTCACCGTTGAAGACCGCGACGCGCGTTTCAGCTCCGCGGTAATCAACCCAAAAAATAGATTCATGGGGTTTCATGCCCCACCCTTGGCGGCTCGTCGAGGCCCCTCGCTTCTTTCCGTAAGAGCTCATGTGCAAGCTGAGCGCGGCGGAGCTCGTCGAGGCGTCGTCGCGGTCGAGCGCGGCGCCTACGCGGCGCTCGGATCACAGGCCTTTACGACACACGGGCGCCGCGGCTGGCGAACCGCATGGCCACCCCCCCAGATGGCGGGCCCGCGCCAATGGGGGCGCGCCGTTTGAAGAAGAATGGGATATGGTTGGGAGACTCTGGCATCGGCGGTGACACGACCACTGGCGCGGACTGCGGTGGCCACGTGGAGCCCAATCCACATGGCGCGCCGACGCCAAGTGCTGAGCTCGACGGCATGCAGGTCGAGCTCGGCAACTGCACATTGGCAGGCGGGGCCGCTAGCATCGCGACACGGGCACAGACGCCACTTGCCCAGTCGCGCCCTTGCTGTGACCCCAGCGGGAGAGCACCGGCCACTCTGGCCCAGCGCTGCAGCGTCAAAAACGGCGGCGCTGCCGACGCCGCTGGAGCCGCCGGCGCAGCCGGCGCTCAGCGCAACGCGCCTGCCGCCCGGATCGGCAACACAATCGCCCTATCCGCCAGTCGGGCAGAGTCCTGATGTCCGAGGTCCATCAAGTCGCCCACGTCATGGCGCAGTCGCCGAAGCGCGGTCTTACGAGGGTTGAAAGAAGCCGACGAATCCGGCCAGGTTGACCCATGGCTCTGGCCAACTGCACGCCAGGTTCCGCCGGACGCAAAGAATGGGAGCCACTGCTGTTAATGCTGTTGCCGGTGCTGGTCGCGCAACTGCCGAAGCTGGAAAAGGCTGGCCGCCGTTCCAGGGGTCGGCTCTCCGCGCAAGGTCACCGCTATCGGGCCCCAAGACCACGGGTTCGGGCGCCCCGCGGGCCCCCCTGGTCGTCCGGACCGAATAGGCACCTGGCGCCGACGGTTGAGCGACTGGTCCGAGCGCAGCGCGGCGCCAAGTGCGTGAGAAGCGAGGACGCCAGAGTCGGCAGCGACGGCGCTGCTGGGGCTGGGGCGCCGAGGAAGAGGGCGCGCCCCTGCCGGCGCCGACGGGGGCGGTCGCGCACGAGGCGCTCCGAGTCGCATTCGCGGCGCTTGAGACGTGCCCCGACAGGCCCCAGCGGGTGGCCACGTCGGCCGAATCCCTGCCCACGGGGCCGACGCTCGCCCCCCCCCCTTACCCCTGCACCCCGATGCCGGCGAAGGTTTCACGGTAGTCATTGTCGGAAAGGTTGGTCAGCGGCGAGCGGTCTTGTTGTCGGCCGTCGTCGACGGGGCGCCATTGGAACTCGGCGCGCCCGCGCGCCCAAAAAGAAGCGCGCGCCGCGCTGCTCCGCAAGCGCCGCGCGCAGTTCGGGGTCGTCGGCGGCGACTTCTTCACCGAATGAGCTGGACGGCGTCGGAATCGGCGCCAGAATCGAAACACGCCGCTGGACACGACGCGGCCCGCGGCGCCCCCGATGCGCCGGCGCGGGCGGCAGACGGCGCCGAGGGCGGTCTCGGCAGCGCCCCCAAGGCTGGAGGACCCACGCCACCCCAGCTCGACTCAGCACCTGCGCCACGAGCACTTTGTTCCTGATCGCACGCGGGCAGGCCCGCGAGAAACACTCGGCGCTGGGGCGAACGCGCGGCCGCGGCGGGATTGCCTGACGAGCCTTCCACCACATGTCCAAATCTGCGCAACAGGCCCATCGCGCGCGCCAGCTGCGGCGCGCCCGTCGAACTTGCCACATAACAATGTCGCGGGGCCACGGCGAGCTGGATATTCGACACGCGCACCGCGCGCAGCAAGAGGTAGCTCAGGCCATCGCAGCCAAACCTGAGTTGACCGGCCTGCTGCGTCCCGTTGCGGAGGACGTCGAACCTGGCGGGGACGTTGTCGATGCGTTCTGGCGGCAACCGGATGGAACCCATGAGAGCCGATACCGCCCGCGCGCGCCCCTCCTCTCCGAGCTGGCCCCGCCGTTCAGCTAAGCTGTGCACGGGCGGCACTGGGTCGCCGTTAATACGATCACCTTGGACGAGGACAGCCGGCGGCCACTCGCCCACGCACCCGCGAGCCAATGCCGGCCAAACGCGACGAGACGCAGGCCGCTCGGCAAAACCCGTTTGGGTCTGAGTTCGCCACTGACATACCATGACCTCTCGCACCCAACGTTGGAAAGGCACGCGGAACAGCTGCTCGCGCCCCCACGTGCCGGGGCGTAGCATGTTGCGGCTGCCGCCAACGCCCGCGCCCACGCAGGCGACGCAACTGATGGCAACGACCACGCCCACTCCGATGGCCTTCCATCCAGAGTGGCGCCCCCTCCTGGTGCCTAGGGAACGCGACGGTCCTCGTTCCCACCAGTTGCGATGTTCTGGCTGTCATCCTCGGAGCCGTCGCGGGTATCCGTCCGTTCCTGGCATGCTCCTCTTCATCGGCGCATTGAATATCGTCCTGTCTTGCGATTGGAGCGCAGGCTGTCCTTGGGGCACTCCGCCACATAATGGCGAAACGACTCGTCGTGAATCGCAGCGTCACTGAACATAGCACGGCCAACTGCAAGATAAGCAAAAAGTACGCACGGGGCCCAGGTATGCCAGGAAGCAAGGAGTGCGTAGGTAACGTCGAGGGCAATGCCCCCGAAAACCTATAAACAGTGGTCCCAAGCTGGCGCAACGGCCCCCCAAGAAGGATGGCAACAGAATTGCACCCTCCTCCACATTCCCGTTCTTGCCTGCACGCGACGCCCCTGGCTAACACAACATACTTCCGGACATCTCAGGACGCGCTGCCGACGCCGACGATGTGTGCGTCGGATAGAACGAGTGCTTAACCTGGTGGCCAACAACCACACGCGGATGCAATGAGGGCGATGCGTTGTTTGCCCCTTCCCCCTCAGACTTCCGTAACATGGTAGTTCCGAATGATTGGGGGCCCCTGGCTGAGTGCCACGGTGACGTAAAATCCACGACCATTTCGAACACACTTCAACACCACCCGAAGGGGAGGAACACACGTGCGGGAGAAGCGGTCCCGTACATGATGTCACCGATGTTGTACTGGTGCGCATCCCCCGTACAGATGGATGGGCACATGAACGCGATCACGGCGAAGACGGCCCTGCGCGCAGAGGGCGCGGCAAAGACGAATAACAGGGGGTCCATGTAGAGATCGTGCTTGAATTCTTTGTATATGGGGATGTAGAGCCGGCGCGTTCGAAGCAGGGCAGCGAAAGGGCGCCATGGCGGCGCATGGAAGTGAACCGATGATCCACGACTGATGACACGGGCACATGGCCTGGCCAGACTGCGTGCCCCCAAAGAACATATGGCAACGGAAAAGGGCCCGATTAAAGAAGGCAACGCATAGAGACCTACCGTTCGAGAGCGCGGAAAATGAGTGAAGGCGACGACGACGACGACGACGACGAGCGTAAGAGAATGAGGAGGAGGAGACGGAAGAGGACGAAGAGGAGGACGCCGAGAAACAGGAGGGACGAAAACAAAGAGGAACAAGAAGGAGGAAGGAGGGAGAAGCAGGGAGGAGGAAGGAGGGAGAAGGAGGAAGGATGAGGAAGAGGAGGAGGAGGCTGGAGATGATGAGGGAGGACGAGAGATAGCAATAGGGGGGTAAACAGGGCGTCCGCCCCTCCCCAGCACCCCCCCCCCCGACGCCTGCATCCAGGCCCTCTCCGCATGGCATCCGCAAACCAGGAAGGTAAGCAGCAGCGCGCCTCCACGGAGAACGGGGAAGGGAGGAGGAGTAGGAGGACGACGACGACGACGACGAGGGGAGGAGGAAGAGGAGGAAGAGGAGGAAGAGGAGGAGCAGCAGCAGGAGGAACACCGCTGAGAAACCTTAGTTAGGTTTATAGTAAAACAAATGAGGAGAGGGAGGAAGAGGAGGAGGACGAAGAGAGGGAGGAGGAGAAACGCCGCTGAGAAACTTGATGTTGGTCTAGCGCTAAAATGGAAGAGGAGGAGGAGGAGGAGGAGGAAGAGGAAGAGGAGGGAGAGGAGGAGGAGGAGGGGAGGAGGAGGAGGAGGAGGAGGAGGAGGAGAACGACGACGACGACGACGAGGAATATTAGCACGGAGTCTTTGTTGGGCTCACGCAAAGGTTCCCATTGGCAAAACTCCTGGGTTGGGCTCAGCAAATGGAAAGCACAATTCCTGACCAAATGCTGGGGACGGAACGGGCCCACGGGCCTGGCAAGACAAAAGATGGCGCACGGGTCGGACCCCCCAAAAAAAACCTTACCGTTAGATCTACTACTGGCCCGACCGCTGGACACCCGGACCCTCCCTCCTCACCGCGCAACCCGCTTCAGCGATCACAATATTTGGGTCCCTACGGAGTGGTATCCCGCAGGGAGCCGAACTTGCGGGGGGGAAAGGTCGACTTTGTCCGTGATATGCGAAAGCATGGAAGCAGACGGGGGGCATGACGCGGAGTATGACGCCGAGGTGCAAGAGGAGGAGGAAGAAGAGGGGGAGGAGGAGGAGGAGGAGGAGGAGGAGGAAGAGGAAGAGGAGGAGGAGGAGGAGGAAGAAAACAGGAGGAGGAGGAGGAGGACGGAAAGGAAGAGGACGAGGAGGAGAAGAAGAAGAAGATGATGGACGGAGGAGAGGAGGAGAAGGAACTAGAATTGCGGGGTCGGAAACTCAACGAGAAAACCATGGAAATAATAATATATTGATTGCATTGTTTAACTACTCAACACTCAGATACGCGCCAGCACAAGCGCCAAACATCGGCAGAGCATCATATGAGAGTCGGGCTTGATTGCGCAGGCGATCGAGAAGCTCTGGCGTAGAAGAGGGACAAAGGAAGAAGGGAAACATACTGTCCAACCCCAGCACATTCTAGACTCAGCAGGGATACCTCGTCGCTGTCTGACCTGGAGGCGCGTGACGCGGCGGGGCGCAAGCTCACCCTTTCGACGGGTAGCTCACTCGTGCTTTCAAGAGCGGCATCGGCGGGGCTCACACGCGTGAATGATGGTGGCGCGTGTTCTCCAAGGCCGCATCTGCGCATGTTGGTGACCTCGGGCCGCAGATCTGATGCCTGAAATCCTGCCCACAGGCTTCAGCGAATTAATGGCCCCTGGGCCACGCGAAGGCGAGGTGGAGGCGTGAACGCGCCTTGACCTGGTAGATCGGAGACGGCGACGGACGGAGAAAGACAGCTAGGAATGCGCCCGTTTTCTAGCACGAACGCCCCGAGGCTCACCGCGCCCAAGAATTGCGGGGGCCGCTCCATTCCCGACCGACGGCCACATCCTCGCCGAAGTGCCAGGGGCCTCAGCCTCCTCGGCCTCGGCACTGCCCGCGGGCGAAGGCTGGCCCGGCTCGCCCGCGGAAGCCGCGAGGAGGGCCGCGCTGGCGCGCCGGCGCTTGACCTTCCACCCTTCCCTGATCCTCGGCTTCTTCTTGCCGGGCAGGTCGGCGTCGCTCTCTGGCGCGGGCTCGTCCTTGCCGTCGCGCTCGCCCTCGCAGACACGACCGCGGCATGCCCGCGAGAGCCGATGGGCGCCATGACTCCCCCCCTCGTCCAATACGGGCGCGGCGCTGAAGGACGGGGCAGCGTCGGCCTCAAGCTCGAGCCGCGAGCAGCGCTGGCCTCGTCGAACGCCGCCCCGCGGGCCCTGGCCCGAGATGGGGACCTAGGCGGAGTCCCTGGAAAGACATGCCGACGAGGAGGAGTGCGTGACACGCGCTCACCCTAAAGCGTCGGGGAGCGCGCCGGCCGCGGCGTCGGGGGCGCTGGCCCCCTGGGACCAGAGGGCCGCTCGTGGAAGAGAGTGTACCACAAGGAAAACTCATCGAGGACCAAGATGGCATTGTCGGAAGCCTTGCCACAAGCCGAGATTGGCACGTGCCCAGCATCGGCGGCACTCGGCCTTCTGTCGCGCAGCCCACCTTGCCCATGCAGCGCGCGGCTTGGCAATGCACACGACAAGAGCAAGGCATCGCGGCTCGTTGTCGCACAACGGCTGCACGCGGCGCACCCGCGCCAACAGCCCGACGGTCCGGGCAGGCGAACGCGGCGCGCAACTCCGGCTCCACGACCCTGAGCGCAAGCTCCAAGATATCAGCACTTCAAGAATTGGATGGCCGACATGCCACCTTGAAATGAACTCCACCACTTCGGCGTCGCTCTTGCTGAATGCAGGGGGCCGCCATCATCCGCAAGCGCCGAGGATGGCGCGCCCGAAGGTGGTGGAGCGCTTGGCGGAGTCGGCGCGGAGGCCTTGCTGGCGGGCAGCATCCGCACGTAGGACACGGCAGCTGCACGGCACTCGCGGGGGGCGGCGGGCGACAGCGGGACCGAGGTGTCTCCTGGGCCCAAAACGCGACCTCGAGAGACCGAGAGACAGACGAATTTGATGTGATACGCTGGACGTGCCCTTCTTCTCTGGACTGCTGTGACTGACGCCGTAACTGACGCACTTGCCCCTGACTTGGCGGTGGCATCATCGGAGGCGTGCTAGGAGGGCAAGCCAAGACCAGCAGCGCCTCTGGGATGCCACGCGTTTGCCAAAGGCCAGGAGGGGGCGTCGGAGATCGAGCACGTGGTTCGGCTCGACCCGCGGCCGTCGCGAGCGCCACGTTGTCTGATGACCATACTATTCCCGTGGGTGACAGCGACACAGAGGGCACGGTCCATGAGGCCCCAGCGGCTTACTCTGAGATATGCTGGCACGCGCGCGCCGCAGCGGGCATCCGCCAGCGCGCGTCGACGCGCACAGGGTGCCCGCGCGCGTGCCCGACAGCCCGCGAGCCACAAAAGGCGGCTCCGCGCGCTCGGGCCGGGCGGCGCACGGCAGCGGCATCACATACGCCCCTTCCTGACCATCAGGACTACTTCCTTGTCCTGCACGTGCGTCCACATACGCGCCCACATGATTGCCCCGGCGCTTGCTAGACCTTGCGATGACGAGACTCCTGCCAACATGCTCCTTCCCCAACTGCCGCGCTGCGACATGCCCCCCAACCACCGCGCACAATGTGGTAAGCCTTCCAACAGGAACGAGGATGAGGCAGGACGGCGGGTTTCAAGGGAGATGGACCACGCGACAGTCCGCATATACACATGCTGATCCTTATTTGTTGTCAAAAGTCGGCTGGCGCTCAGGGCCTGATAGCACTGCGAGCTTGCCAGCCGAAGTGAGGGCGACGGTGTTCAGGCGTGCGCGACCGCTGGCTAGAGCCACCAGCCACGTCGTGGAGTGCAGACCTGACGATGCTGCCCATGGGACCCATCCGCGATCACATCGCACGTCTTCCCATCTCGGGGCGCAGAATTGGCCGAAGCTCAAGAGGTCGCGGAGCCAGAGCACACGCGGCAATAGTGAATGTTACGCTGGGGGATCGGTTCTCGTAGCCGCGACTGCGGTGACAACCGTTAAGTCCAGGCAGAATTCAAATTGCAGTGCGAGCGGCTGCTGACCATCTCTTTGGCGACGCGCTGCTTCAGGGCCTCGGGGCCCCTCGAGCACCTCGCGGCGCGCGGCGGCCAAACCGAGGCCGTGATCTTCTGAACGGATCGTGGCAATTAGCTCACTTGTGAAGGCGCTTCGCGTCACCGTCTTGAGTGCCCCACACTGTCCGTCTCGTAAGTGGCACGTTTGCCTGCCAATGAATGTATCTTGAGCACCCGTGTCACTAGCGACCATGCGCAGGAAGGTGGCTCCTCGCAGGGCCCGTCCCGCATCGGAACCTTCCCTCGGCTCTTTTCTGAATGCTGCAAAGCGCATTGGTGGATAGTGGATTTGCAATGGCTCGGCCTGCGCCCATCTCATAAGCGTGTCGAGCAACCGCACGCGGCCGCACATTGGCGCCGCTGCACGGTGCTGAAGTGCGACCACGTACGTAGGTCGATTCAAGGCTGGTGTCATGAACAGGCCGAAGTACAACTTGGCCAAGCTCTCTGAGGCGAGGTCGGAACTAGAATTGCCACTGACCTCGGCGCTTCCGATGGGCTTCGAAAACTGGATATCTCCGATCTGTTCCAACTCATGTCCGCCGTCCCGCGCGGGGGGTGGACGCGCGCCACAACATGCGAAAGTTCCGTCACTGACATCGAGCTCACCTTTACCAAAGGCATTCTCCGGACACTGACGTAACTTCGCCTTTTCCTGCGGTGGTCCTGCTACCTCGACGTCGTCGACACGCTTGGTGGCCAGCAGAACGAGCTCGCCCTCCTTATTCTTGGCGATAAAACTCGCTGTTGTATAATGCGGTGATGGCTTGGCACATTTGCTTAGCCATCCCCGTGAATTGGATGGACCACCATCTCGGGACGCCCTTGCACCTGGCGCCTGGTTTCTCCATGCGGACAGGAGGACTGCGGCGGCGGCGGGGGGGAGCTCGAAGATGGCATCGCACCCATCTTCCCCATGTAGCTTCCGCAAGTTCCTGATACCTAACGCCTGTTCCAGGGAGGCTTTCCTGACGCCCCACGCATCGATCGCCCATGCTCGGCAGAAAGCCACAGAGACAATCACGCGGTGGGAGAGTCGCAATGAGGTGCTAGCACAAGTGGCGATGAGGTCGGCGTCGTCCTTGCAGCCTCAGAGGGCCAGCCTCATGCAGATGGTCAATTCATTATGAGAGGGGTCTGCCTTGCTTCGTGATCACTCCCACGTGCCTACCCACCTAAAGTCAAGAGGGTTGCGTGCTCCTCGGCGTGGGCGCCGTGAGAGGCAGTCGCGGTCCACCCATACTTGCAGCTCCTGGAGCCCCGCAGCAGAAACGATTGCGGGGTCGAATAAGTCGGCGTCGCGTTCGACAACTGCCTTCTTGGTTCCGGCCACATAGACCCGGAGGCGTGAACAGTGTTTCTCTGGAACAGGCTGATCCAAAACAAATGTGCGCAGCTCGTCCAGGGCCAGCATTTCCACGTAAACGTTTCCTCTCTCATCGACGTCGCTGGCCTCTGCGATAGCGACAGGTGCTGAACCCACGGTGAGGAACGGCGGTGCTGGCACATCTTGCGGCAAGTGCTGTGGGTAGAATGGATCCGGTTGAGACTCCATCTCGGAGATACCCTCAAAAGCGACCGTCTCTGTGAGCAACATCCCTCACGACAGCCTGCCGGTCCTCTGTTGGAAGAATTCCACCACGCGGTGTCGATCAGGTGTTGGTCGATCAGTGAGCCTTCGAGGGGCCCTTCTTCAATGGTGGACAGCCTCACGCGGTCGCGCGCGGAATCGTCGGGGCAAGCGACGGCTTCCAAAGGATCGGCGCCCCCCCCCCCGGACAACTGCAAATCGGAGCTCATCTTCCACGAGATCTCCGAAACAGCGTCCGGCGACCTCCCCAAGCATGAGCTAGATATAGCACATATTGCTGTTGTCGGGACCGAGGAGCTCAACAAGGCTTGGTCTATGCACGCGCACCCACCCCCCTCGCGGAGAAAGGGGGGAGGTGAGGGTCGCTCTTTTCCTCGAGCAACAAAGGGCTGCAGGATTTCCTGGATCCTCCAGGACAGTCTAGATTATATTTTATATAATCATATATCTATGTAAAACTACAAACTTCCTAGCACCTCTCCTTGGGCGCTGGAAGCGGCTCGGCCTCCAGCCAAGAAAAGTGAGCCACAGGGAAGCCTCTTTGTGCTCCCTGGGCAGGCGTCGCAACGGCGCTGGCCCCCTAAACCCATCGCGGGGCTACCCGCTGAGGGCAGGCGCGGGGCAAACCGCAGCCTGTAAAACAAAGCTCACCCTCGGCCGTCGTAGTGCTTCCTGCGACCATTCTCCTAGCCCTCTCCGTGGATCACCTGAGAGCCTCTGGAACGGTCTCGGCACTCGCCCTTGAACGTCTCGATCCACTTCTGCGCAGCCTCTGGACTGCTGATGTCCTGCAAGCTAAGCTTGGCAAGAGGTCCATGCGCTGTAGCCATCACCCGCAGCTGCTCGATCTCCTTGGCCTGGCGATCCGACAGAACACCTCCGTGCTTGATCATCCTCGTGACCAGGTCTTCTTTGATCCCTGACACGGCCAGGCTCTTGGCCTTCAAGACAGCTCGCAGCTCAGCCACAAGAAACGTGTTTAAGAGCTTGTGCCTTGCACCTTTGTCCTGCTGTGCACACACGGTCTTGAACTCGACGTCAGCCCGCGCAGATGGTGGGCAAGTGCTTCCAGAGGCGGGGCTAACCGCACCCTGGAGGAAGAACTTGTCGTAGAAGTTCTTGAAGTAGCAACCACACCAGCACCCCAATAAGAAAGTACTCGCTGCAGTCACCATAACAAGTCCCAACATCAAGTAGAACCTGAACTCCTCGCTCTCCACATAGTGGCTGACAGGCGCGGGGCAAACCGCAACCTCGTCAGATCCTCCGTACACTGTCACCTTCTCGCCTGACGCCTTCGTCACGACCTCCGTGAAAACTGCCATTGCGCTCAAGCCCGTCATCTGCTTTCCGAACCTGAGGTTGAGAGTGGTGCAATGCTTCTCGATTGTCGGCCACTCGCTGTACTTCGTGAGCATGTCGGCTGTCATCTTACTGGTGTCCTCCTTGTGAAGCTCGAACGCCTTGAGACGCAACCGCTCCTGAATCCACAAGTACCTCAGCTCCAGATGCCTGACCTTGCCCACCCCAACTCGGCTGCACATGCCACGTCCAGCTGTGCTGTCACTATAGATCTTCAGGTTGCAGGGCCTCTGGGTCTCGATCAGGTAAGTCTTACACTGAAGTCCTCTGGCTGTCGCACTTCCCGTAGCATACATCTCGGATTCCCCTGAACTTAGGGCTATCGTACTCTGCGTCACTGAGTAGCAGTCCCAAGTGTGGTCGCCATACCTCACAGCTCCTCCACTGGTAGATCGCCGCTGTAGTTCACTCGTAGGTGCCCAATCCGCATCACCATCTACACGAATGCCTTCAGGAGTACCTTGAAGTGGGTAACACCAGACCAAAACAGGCTGTCCTTCGTAGTACCTTCCAAGTCGCTGAACACGCGCATGCATCAAGACGTTCGGGTTGGAGACGTGCTGCATCGCTGTCTTGCTGGCGTACATCGTGTCGGGCCTGTCCGAAGAAAGGTAAAGAGCGGTGCCTGCTGCACCCGCCACTTCTCGAGCACGATCCTTGGAAAGAAGGTCTAGGCTGTCTCGTCGGCCTTGTCCTGTAGCTTTCGTTCCTGGAGTAGGAGCTGGTTTACAACCTCGCTTCTGCGTCCACTTGATCATGAAGTCCACATGCTTGGGATCGGCAGTCCAGAAGAAACCTGGCTCCTCGCAACCTGGCAACTTGTCGGTGTAGCCGATCGTCCTCTTGAGGTATGTAGTCTGCCCCACCGCTCCTGGTCCAAGTCTGGCGCTGGCCGTGACCTCAAACTGCTGCTTCAACAACTCGTCCAGCTCGTCCAGCTGCTCGTCGTAGCCTTCAGCAAGAAAGTCATCGCCATGGCAGATCGCTGTGCTATCCTCGTCGAAGGGGGCTGTGTTGGGGCTAGCAGGTAAGTAGAACACGTTAGGAGTTCCAACCAAGCATTCCCAATGGCCGTCGTCCATAGTAGTTCTCACAAGCTCACCCCACATCTGCGACGCCTTCCTGGTACCGTTCATGGCCTTGCGTAACCACCAGCACCTTCCAGGCGGACACAGCTCTCTCCCAGGATGCACGTAGATCGTCTCGTCTAAGTCAGCGTTGAAGAAAGCCTTCCTGACGTCCCAGACTTGTATCTTCCGCAGGTGCTGCCCGCTGGAAGTTGGACTTGAAGCGGCACGGCTCAGCGTCGCTCTGACAATCATGAGCGGGGGCGTGCCTTGGTGGTTGTCCTCCCTGACCTCGTACTTGTTCACCTCGGTTGCTACGAACCTCCACCTGACCTTTCCTTCTTTCATGTGGGCTATCGGGAAACCTCCAATGTGCTTGCCGTCAGTCGCCGTCGATGTCGCCACTTCCACGTAGACCCCGTAGTCTTTCATGGCCTGCAGCTCGTCGTCGCGACCCTTCTGATACAGGTCCTCATCCAGAGGCTCTCCAGTATAGTAATCGTAGTGTATCGTCTTTGGGCTCCACTGGTCTTTCTCATGCAGCTCGGCGCTCACCTCAACCATCTGCTCCACCTGCTGATCCTCAGGATCTCCGAAGTGGCTTCTGATTGTGCCGATGTGGCTCATCAAACATCTCCTGCATGCACACTCAGCTTGGTGGCATTCTCGTAGCTGGCATCGTGACGAGTGCTTCTCACACCTCTCGGAACATCTCGCACTGCGCTTTGGGTGTGGATCCCACATGGGGTCGAAGCTCTCGTCGTAGCCCTCCTCGCAGACTGCCAACTCACAGACAGAGAGATGCCCAATGCTTGCTACCCTGGGCTTCTTGACCTCAGCTCCTTCACGAACTTCACCTGGGGCACTTCGCCGAAAGTCGCTCCTGAGCTCGCCACTCTCCGTGTCCATGGCTGTCTGCACCTCAGCCTCTCCTGGGCCAGGGACCATAGCTACGTCGCTGGCAGCAGGTGCGGGGCTCACCGCAACCTCACTGCTGCTTGATGCCGCTGCTCCTCCTGGTGCGGCTCCAGGCGCGGGGCTACCCGCAGCCGGTGCTGGCACCACGACTGTAGCCTCAGGGGCCACAGGGTCCTTTGCCAACTTCTCGCGCAGCAAGTCGGCCTGAATGGTCTCGAAACGCTGTCGGCAGGCTGCCGAATGCGAACCGTATCCTGTACTGCACTTCCTGCACTCGTCAGTAGGACCATGAGCATCGATCATGCGCTCCGTGATGTACATGCTGCGTCCGATCGTTCCTGAACTCTTGTCGGGCGTCTGCTTCCAGGGCGTCACCCTGATGTGCTGGATGAGCTCGGGCTGCCATCTGAACTCCTCAGGCATCCTTCGCACCGTTCTGACCTTCTGCACTCCACGTTCAGGATCGATCACGAGATGTGTATCGTCCAGCTCACTCTTACCAACCCAGATTCCTTTTGCGAAGCGGGCTTCCCATTTGCCACGTCCCGCGGCAACTCTGGCTGAGATCCGATACCAGACCTGCTCACCCATCTCCGCAATCTCGCCGTTGTACTCTTTGCCGTAGAGCATCTTGTAGGAGGAACCTCCGTGACTGCGAGGCTGGAATCTGGTAATCATCCACCCCACTGAGTTCACAAGCCATGGCACGATCGGATCCGTCATCTTGATCTCACAGCCCAGCTTGTGCTCCAGCTTCAGCTTGTAGGCTCGAAGTAGACCAGCTGCTAGCTTGTTAGCTCCTTCAGCGTAGCCTGCACTTTGCTTGGAAAAGGGCGGTGATCCCCGCACCAAGGTTGAGTGTGATCTGCGATCTCGAACTGCCTGCGCCAGAGCCATGGTGGCAGGCTCCTGGTCTGTCTGAAGTATGACTGTTGTGTGGCCCCAAGCTTCCAGCACGCCTAGCAGGAAGGACACCTTGTAGTCATCCGTCTCCTTGTTCGCGTACAACGTCGCCTGAGCCAAGATCTTACAGTCGATAACATTCAAGACAGAGACCGCTTGGTCTAGCTCGGCCTTCGTGACCGACATCTTCTCCCTGATGCTGAAGTAACCTCCTTTAAGCTTGTACTTCGCAGCCAGCTGGTCCGTCCCTACGTAAAAGATGTCGAACATGACCTTCGGGATCTTGTTCTCATCAGCTGGTTCCTGAGCGTGGTGTGGGTCATCGTCTGCTCGAGCCTGCACGCAGATGGGACACCAAGGCCGAAAAGGTAGATGATGCCCTTCGTGCGCGGCTCTCTCCGCAGCACTAGGTTGGTGAGGAGTCTTCAACACTCTCGTTGGCACAGTTGTGGTCTCATCAGCTTCAGGACCTAGAACCTTCGGCAAAGATCCAGCTTCCTGTTCAGCTGGTACCTTCCTCGGTAGCGTCTTTCGGACCGCAGCTACCTTTGAAGCTTCTGGTTGAGTCTGGCCGTCGATGATGTGATCGTACTCTAAGTAGTAGTTGCCTTGGTGACGCCGTAGAGGTACGAACTCAGCTCCGTCAGGTGGCTCGACGGTACCGTTGATGATCCAGTGACCTGCAGGGCTATGAAGAACACTCTGACCACGTTGTACTACAGCATCTGTAGCCACAACTGGGTACTCCACATCGGCAACCTCTGCACCGACTTGAATAACCTCTCCTCCTCGGGATAGGTTCAGCTCCACGTGGCCGTACCTCTCGATCTCCTCGCCTCCTATGCCCTTCAAGCCGACAACGTTGCTGTCCGTCGGCGTGTAGTTATGCTTGGTCACCTGTGATCTCGGTATCGCACTGATCTGCGCACCTGAGTCGAGCATGATCGCATTCCGAAGCGGGGCTAACCGCAATCGGTCATCTGCAGGGCTCTGATCTTCATCCACGGGCCGAAGACCAGCGACGGTGACATGCCTGGGGCCGGCCAGCGCGGGGCTCACCGCAGCTGGCACATCGCAGCACTTACTGATAGTCTTTCTTGTGCTTCTTTGGTCTTGGCTTCTCGTTGTCGTCTGGCTCTTCCTCGTCCTTGAACCAGTTGTCCAGGCAGTACTCGGCACACGCGGCACAGTAGTCCAGCTTCCACTGATCGAAGTGCCATCGCCATCCTTCAAAGGTCTTCTTGCAAGAGCAGCAGACATATTGGTGGTAGCTAGGCAAGCAGTACTTCCAGTCGATCGTGTGGCTGCGCTTCTTGAGACCTCTGCCCTCAGGGCCAGAATCATCTTCGCTTGCAGCGCGCAGTTGACTGGGCGCAGCACCTGCTGAGTCATCGCGCTGTCGGCGCTTCCTTGACTTCCCAACATCTGTTGTGTAGGTGCTGTCGAACTTGTTCCTGTGCCAACTCCTGCCTGTCGTAACCTTTCGAGCTCCCTGACTGCCGCTGCCCCGATCTTCTTCTTTTCTTTTCCCTTCTCTTTTCGGAGCTGCTTCTTGTCCTTCTTGTCCTTCTCGGATGTATTCTTCTCGTCGGCGATCCGCTTTCGGCAGTTTGCGCTGCGGTGGCCCTTCTTGTGACAGTAGTGGCACTTGATCTCGGCGTCGGGATTCGGTGGCCTCTCCTTGCCCTTGCCGTCTTTCCCTTTGCCGCGGCCTTTCCACGGTCTCTTTCCGCCCTTCAGCGCGCCTATCTCCATCGGGTCGTCCTGAACCGCTCGCTCTGCCATCAACGCCGACACCACCTCGGCTCTCAGGAGCTCGTACGTACTTAGCCGACTGCTGTTCCGAAACACGTGCTTCTGCAGCTCGTCGTGATCCTTCAGCGCCTTTGTAAGGATGCCTCGCTTGATCAGGTCCGAGACTGGTTCTCCTGCCATCTTCTGGTACCTTGTCATGTCCTCGTCCAGCTTGCTGATGCTCACCATCACGTCTTCTTTGGCGTCGAACTTCGTGTCCGTGAGCTTGGTCCACATCGCCAGCACGTTTCCTGCCTCGCTCGGGTTGTACTCCTTCTGAAGTTTCCTCCAACACTCGGCTCCTTCTCCTACTGGGCTGTTCCTCACGATCAGCTCGCCTACTGAGTCCTCGGGCATCGCCAGGACCAGGCCGTAGTACAACTGCGTGCTTAGCTCTTCCTCCTGCGCGTCCAGGTTGACGTTGTCCACCTCCTGGGCTCCGTCCTCGCACCTTTCCAGAAGATCTCGGTACCTTCGATCCTGGGCGATCAGGTACGCTCTGTACTGGAAACTGAACGTCTTCCAACTCGCCCTGTGGCCGTCGAACGGCTTCACCTTGTGAAGAATCTTCGGATCCATCATCTCGCCGCGCGGGGCTACCCGCTGCTGCTGAGCCTGTTGCTGAGCTTGAAGCTGACCTCGCATCTCTGCGATCGTCACGTCTCTGTTCTGAAGTTCCTGTCTCATGTTCTGACTCTCCGTCGTCAGCCTCTGAACTTGATCGACCAGTTGCTGCAGCTGCTGCTCCATCTTGATAGTCTAGCACGTCGCTGACACGCTTCCCTATCCTCTCGATGTCGCTTCTCAGCTGCCTCGTCACCGCTGCTCGCTCCTCCTGCGTGAGCTGCGCTCTGCTGCCGCACGCCTTGAGCTTCCTAAAGGCGGTCCCTCGGAGCTCGCGGTGCTGACGCGTGTCCGCCGACCTGCCTCCTCGCTTGTTCGGCTTCTTGGCCTTCTCCGTGGCTGCTTGGCCTCCACTGTCAGAGCGCGGGTCTGACCGCAGCTCTGACTAGCAAGGGGTCCTCTCGGCGCTCGCGTGGATCGGCCCGCCAGCTGCTGAGGGGCTCCTTGAGCTCGCCGGGGTGCGGAGCGGCCCGCGATCCTCAAGCGAGCTCCGCTACCATGCACGCGCACCCACCCCCCTCGCGGAGAAAGGGGGGAGGTGAGGGTCGCTCTTTTCCTCGAGCAACAAAGGGCTGCAGGATTTCCTGGATCCTCCAGGACAGTCTAGATTATATTTTATATAATCATATATCTATGTAAAACTACAAACTTCCTAGCAGTCTAGCCTCGAAACTCCACCAGGTCTCCCCTTCGCGGCGGCCTCGTCGCCAACGTGCCAACAGTGATCCGTCTCGACTTTTTTCGGCCACGATACGCTCGAGGCTGCGGCCGATCTGGGTGGCCGCGACACTGTTGAGGTCGGAGACATTCCTGGCCAAGTACTCGAAGCTCAGGGCCAGCGAGGACTCCGCGGCGGCGACGGCGGTGACTGTGCCGGCGTCGGCAAGGCCAAAGCGTTGGAGGGTCATTATTTACCGATTGGCCCATGAAATACTGCCCTGCCATCATCCATGCCTGAGCGCGAAACGTAGTAGGTTGACTCGTAACTCCGTAGATCGGCCAGTCAAAGTCCATGAATCGTCGTACATCTCCGAGGCAGTATACCTGTTCGGCGTCTCGGTAGTTGATGATCCTGGTGCCTTGCTGGGCATTCACCTTGACGACTGCGGCCGCGCCATTCCATCCGCTCACAGCTTCGGCGGATGGGGATCGGCCAAGTCGACCAGCTCGCCTGGCTTGCAATCCAGGGCCCTGCCACTGTGGCATTGGTATGCGGGGGCCATCTGATACGTGAGCTGGCCGAGACCTTCACGATCCGTCGCTGGGCAATATGTCTTAACTGGCGCGGATTGCGAGCTGCAGCGGCTGCGTCATACAGAAGTGCACACATGTTCGGCAGCAGCAGCGGTCGCAGTCCAAACCGGGCGCTGCACGGCGCGGAGCCCCCATGGGATGCGAAAGAGCTGCCAGCGAACACGGCCTCGGACAGTAGGTCGGGCATGCTGGCTCCTAGTACGTCACGCCGAGGATGTTCTTCATTGCAATGCATGGCTCGTCGCAGAACCGCAGCGCGTCGCAAATGCGGTATATCGTCGGTTCGTAGCATACGCAAACTCTGAGTGACGTCAAAAACTTGACCAGTCCTCTGGCGCATGACCCGCCGCAGAGTCCACGATCCGAGGTTGCGTCCGAGGAGCCCTGACAGCGCGGAACGCTGAGGGGCCAGGCGGTGGCAGCGGTTCGCCGACGCCAAGGAGGTCGTCGCACATCGGCGCTGGCGGTGCAGAGCCGTCAACGGGGCCTCGGTTAGGGGGCGGCCCCTCGGCATCAAGACCCACTTGTGATCCAGGGATTCCTGCCACGGAATCTTGAAATTCCTGCACTCGAGCCTCACGGGGAAAGGATCCGCGCCGGCCAGCGCGACGTTCTTGGACAGCACTGCATGGTTCGTCGAACCAGCGGCATTATCCTGGCCGCCTGGCGCGGCCAGGGTCTATCCCATGGCGGGTCGCGCGCGCATCCTGGGCAAGAGCATGGTGACTCGGCGCCTGGCGGGATTGCGCACCCCCTGCAATCTCAGCGCGAAGCGGGCCCTGGCTGCTGCGATTCTCGCGGCAGCCAGGACGTTCTGGGCATCATTTAGCATTCGGTGTTGGCTGCCTGTGTAGCAACTGGTGCGACGGCGGATGCCCGCGCGCTCGAAGCGCGCGTTGGGGCCACAGACGCCTTCAGCCGGGCTCGCGACTTTCCTGCCTGCATAGGCATGGCTGCCGGCGCTGATGTTGGTGGCGCTCAAGCTCCTGGAGAGTATCTGCGCTGACGCGGGTCCCCGTGGCTGGGTAGGTTTCAGCCATCAGAGTAGGGGGGCTTTCCACCGCGGCTGCATGTGCGACGATGCCTTGCACCACGCGCCCGGCTAAGCGCCATGCCAGACCTGTAATGTCTCGGCGTTCTGGCTGCGACCCGAGCTGACGTCGCGGTCGCGGTCACCGCTGCACCTCAGAGCCCTGCAGAAGCCAGCAGAAGAGACGAGTTTGCGATAGCCGCTGACGGCCTCACCCATTGAGAGCCGAAGGTCCACCGCTGCTCGGCCTCCTTGGTGGGGGGGGGCAACTGCTGGCGTCGCGTCCTCCGCCACCGTCTCCATCGTCGGCGTGGGCTGGGCGCGCAATTGATCACTGCTGTCGGGTGCGCCGCCTGTGGATTGCACGGCCCTCCGGATGTCGTCGACGACCATCGCCAGGTGTTCGCTCAGAGCCTCCTGCACTGGAACGCGTACCGCACCTGCAGCCCATTGGAACTGGACGTCGCCGCCGCCGGGCAAGATTCGCTAGCGTTAGCCCATGTCCAAGATCGCGAGCAGGGGCCCCATGCTACGTCGGCCGAGCAGGCCAGGCAGGTCACTGCCCGATCCTCTGCCAATCGGCGCTGTGAAACTGCGGATGGTAGATTGCCCTGTTCGTCCGCGACAGCAAGGGGGGCGCCCACCTGATGGGCGCACTCTCGGGCCCCGTTGCCGACACCCTGCACGCTCCAGGGCATGCCCACGAAGAGCCGCTGAGGCCGGCGCCCTGCCTCCACGGCTCGCCGGCACAACTGGCGCAAGATTATCACCGATGAGGTTGGTCCACGCACCTGGGCCCACCAGGACGCTGAGCTCACCCCAAGGGAGCTGGGCGCGACTGCGATACACCTGCTCGGCATACTCGTTTGCTGAGCCGGTGGCTGGCCACCAGGGAAGCACGTCGGCTTCGCCGCTCAGCGGTGAGCCTTGGGGCGGCTGGCGCCCCCAGGTGGCCGCGTGAAGGCTGGCTGCGATCTCGCCGACTGGCGCGACTCGCGGCGCGAACAGGAGCCCGTCAGCGCCAGATGGCGGCGGGCGCTTCACGGGGCACGGATGGCACATGGATGCGCGTGACCTCGCGCACCACCAAGCGCTGCCGACACGCCGGGCACTGCGAAGGGTGCTCAGGCTCAGTCGCCGCGAAGCGCTTCTTTTACTGCCTGCACCTGGGCGTCGTCGCAGCTGGTGGCGGCCCAGGCGTCGGCACAGCTCTGATGGAAACGATGGCCACATTCAAGGATGGCGGCGAGGTCCGAGCTGACGCAATGGTCTACACAGATGCCGCACATCTCATCGGCGCCCACGCCCACTTCTGTGAGTTCTGACTCTGCCCGTAGATCCGATGGTAGTGACTGGGGGGTCACGGCTGGAGGTCACGCCATAACCACGTTGATCATCTGCTGGGCGTGGCCACGTCGGTGCGACCGCTGGTCCGTCTGAGCGTCGCGGTCGACTTACAATCTGGCCATGGAAGACAGCCAGCCAGATGGATATCTCGGGGGCCAAATCGCGCATGACGCTGGTCCTGATAGCCACGGTCGGAACTTCCGCTAGGTGCCCATGCCCGCCGCGTCTTTGTCTGGAAGGGCAGCCTGCGCTAGCTGGCCCTGCCGCAGGCGCGCGAGTTGGCCGAGACCACTGATGCGAGGGACGATGGTCGCTGATCGCCAGGGACTGCAAGCTGGCCCATCGGCGGAATAGCGGCGCCAGCGCTGCACTGCTGGCCGATGAGTTCAATCTCGCGGTGGCCCCACAGGCCCCACAGAGCTGCAGTCCTCCGAGGCGCGCTGGCGGAACGACGAGCTCCGTTGGCGGCGCCCGCCGGCTCCGCCGCGGCGGCAGCCGCGCCTGGGAACGGCGGCAGCACTGGCACGTGCACCGGTCGTTGCAGCGTTGAACATCCGAGGTGGCGGCAGGACAGCTGGCGCGTCAGCGCACGCGTGGCCCTGGTCCGCGGCGAGCGAGGCTGCTGACAACGAGCCGTGGACAGATCCAGGCACCTGCCAGGCGCCGTCGACGGACGGCAACGCTGGCGCGGCGCTGCGACCCAACTGCGGCTAAGGAGGACCCTCAGTGACTATGGGTCTGATACTACATGGCCTCCGAACTGGCCGCCGCTGCCGCTGCCACGCGGCGATGACGCGGTGCCTCGCGGGCACTCAGCGCGGAAGTGGTACTCGCCCCCACAGAAACTACACGTCACGGTGGCCCCGTCATAGCTGGGAGGCTTGCGGCGCCTGCCCCCCCCCTCACCCGACGAGCGCCCACCTTTGCCCTGTCCTTTTCCACCGACGAAGGCTTGATCTACATGAGGGTCTGAGAGCCAAGAGATATTCGCATTTCCTTGGAAAAGGTGCCGATGTTCCTCTGGATGAATCTGGGTGCCGCGCAAGTATTAACGTTCTTCATCTTCCAGAACAAATGAGCATCTATTCGGGCACGGCTGGGACGTTGGAACTCTGGCGCTTTGTACCTGACCCATCCGCCTGGGTCCGAGCTGGTGTCTGACGAGTTTCCACTGCCGCGGCGGCAGAATCGGCAGCCTGCGGCGGCGCGGCGCCCTGCGACGGGACGGCAGCGCACGTCGCGGCACCACCGGCACCAGGAAGCCCGGCGGCGCTGGCAGCCCAGGGGTCGAGGCCCTGAGCGTGCCAAGAGTCAGCGGCAGGTGCGTCGACATTGTTGTCATTGGTCATATCCACGGAAACCTCCGAACGATGGCGGCGCACGAAGGGCGCCAGCGACGTCATTTTGCGCACGATCCACCCTGTGACCCACGCGACTGAGCAGTCGTTACTATT